CAAATAAATTTCTGGCTAAGTGTCTTTTTGGTAGTACAAAACGTCAGGTTAATTTCAATATTGTAACTTTTTTAGTGCTTGTAAAAAAAATTGTTATACAAATTTTATGTACCCCCTTCAAGGGGCTGTATCTTAACAAGCGATGCTCCAATGAAGTTTCTTTATATGAAAGATCCTATCTTTTTTTCGATGAGGAATCACCTCCTTGAATTTTTTACACTTATTCAGTTACACCCTGTATATAAACATGTGTAAAGATGGAATGTCAAATGAGAAAAACGAAAAAAATATTTTGTAGAAGTACCTACTTTGAATTTAAACATTTTATGTTTTTCAAATTGGCTGGCAGCTCATTATTAATTAATACACCATTAGGCAAGATGTAACGTTTCCCAATTTCCATTTTTGTTCCAGAAATATTTTCGACAATTATATATGAGATTTTTGGGAAACAAAGTCTTTGTCTTTCTACTTCTACATCTCCAGCAATCATCTTCAGAAAATTAACTCTATACATTGATATGTAGATCCTGCAAAAAAGTAACTTTCAGATACAAACTGGAAAAAAGTCGAAACAGCTATTTTCATGTAAACATTGAATTACACGAAAGAAAAATACTTTCAAAACAAATACTTTCATATGTAAGCTGAATACGAAAACCATTTTTCTCTTCCGTTTGTATTCCGAATATTCGTAATGGAATCGAATCAGATATGATTCACAGGAGTCCTACACAATATAATTAATGAAAGAAGTAAAATTTCACTTACCTGAAACACTGTCATTCTCACTGGTAGATACCACCCGAATGTTTCGCCGTAAGATACTTGCCTTACTGGCTCTTCAGTACCAACACGGATAACATTAAAAAAAAATCTCAATTCGTTCATAAAATTACGACTTTTTGTTACGGAACGGGTCGAATCCACCCACGTCATCGATGACAGCACGTAAATAACATTCATTGGCTAATTTGATGAAATAACGTGTTAGGAATCACACGTTAAAAGGTAAGACCTCGTTAATCCTTGGCTCGCACAAGTTTCGACTTCTGAGGGTTGTCGTTCGTAGGGGTGCGACAGCTGGTTAACGGAAAAACAGATTTTAAACAGATTCTTTTTTTAAACTAGCCAAAGGAATCTTGTTTAAATTGAAAGCCAAAACCACTCTTTTCTAAAATTTAATGTCTCCTAAAAATATACCCTTTCAATTTAAATAAATGAAATTGTTTTCGGTGAATTTTAAACTGCTGTTTTTTAATTTATAACAGGTTAGGTGAAATAAGAAACAAATTGCCAATCATTGAAGTGAATCCAAATTCAATAACCATTTTCGTTTATACACATTTTTAGTTGGTTCTAAGTGTAGACGTTTATAAATACATTTGATAAATGTATTTGGAAATTTTGTCAATAGTTTGAGAATCACCGTATTTGCCGATCCCCATACATGCATTATTATTTAAGAAACATTTATTGTGAGATTTTCACTACACGTGTTGTGATTCTGTAAAACTGTAGTAAAAATCTCACAATAAAGTGTTTCTTGAATACGTTATGGATTTCCATCAAGTATTGGCCGATTCCATCACATACTCGTATACAGGGTGTTTTAAATTCGATCCTCACCTTTGGGATCTCGGACTCTACGATAGATACGAAGATGGTTAAATTGGGGCAAGGTTGCGCATTTCCCTGACTAACAATATGCCGTTGAGAAAGTTCTAGAAATCCGAGTATATCCGGAGATATCTGGAAAAAACAGAAATTTTGGAAAATGGTTTTTATTTTTTCTGGCTTTATTTTTCGAAGGATTCGAAAACGAATTGAACTTCCACAATGCCACTTTTTCCCTGCTACATAATGGTGTTTTCGGATATGCTATCCGATGTTTCGTCTTCCGGCCACAATCATCAACTTTATTTTTTTCTTATGGGCGCTATATTGGATTCTTTCTGTTTTGAATACAACCAGATTTTACCTTTTCATTAATGTATCATATGTCATCATTGGAGATATTGAAAAAAAAATAATTCTCATGATAATAGGCTTTGACTTTGAAGAAGGGCACAGTTGTGTTATCATGAACAAGGCCAGCATTTTGAGCATTTGCTGTGATTTACTTTTGTCTTTACATTTTAGTTAATTATTGTTATTTGTTCAAAGTTCTACTTCATTAGAAAGGACACAATGTCTAATTTACCTCATACACACCTTATTTATCAAATTTTGATTGTTGATTCTGTCTCCGTATTTTTTCCTCGGCTTTTCAAATGAACCAAACTTGGTGAGATTTTTTTGATACAATAACTTGAACTAGTTCGATGTGGTTGTCGTTTTACGGGATACAAATTTAAACACATTTCCGATGTCCTAACACTGTTTCTATCGTATTTGTAATAAATTTGTATCATATATCTTTTTTCTTCATTCGTGAACTCCATTTTTCGCCAAAAATTCAATGACTTTCACAATAACAAAATGCCATTGAGTGTAGCAAATTGAAACTCAAATTTAGAAATATCAAAGTCAAAACCTATTATGATAAGAATTATTTTTTTTTCAATATCTCCAATTTTTCGAAAAGAAAATGATACATCATTCACTTCCTCTGATCACTTCTGATCTGAAGATGATCACCAAGTGATCATCTTCAAAGAGGAAGATCTTTTTTAATCTTAAGATTAAAAAAAATGTTCCTCTTTGAAGATAATCACTTGGTGATCGAAACACGTGTCGAGGTGTTGAAAATAACGATTTGGTGTTGGGAAAAAAATCCAGTAATATTCATTACTACACCAAAGGTTCCAAACAGTGCATCATAAGTATATAAAGAACTTCGATAAATAATCGGTGAAACTTCTTTAGAAGTTCCTAACTTTATAAAACAATCATTTATTTCAAAAAAACTAGAATGATTTGTAGAGAGAATGTAGAGAATACATATTCATTAAATATATGAGTTCAAAGAGAAGAAAATCAGAATTGGAGTCATTGATAACAAGAACAAACAAATATGATACAAAAGATATTTTTCAATGTTGATTTGAATTTTACTGTGCTGGAAAATTATTTATCATTTTGTAATTTATTGTAGGCAATTATTTGTTTCTGAAATATAAATTTTCTGTCAGGATTTTTCGTTAACAGTTTATTGAGATGTCTTGTTTGATGATCATGTACATTTTCTATGTTATATAAATTTGATAGTGAGAAGTGTTTTATTCTTTCTAACGGACTGCAGAAACGTGCATACTTTTAATTGGTAAATGGAATTGATATCAAGTCAATGTTTATTTCAACTAAAATTTTCATCAATATCCTAGAATCCTAGAAAGGTCTTAGAAATTTTGTGTAGTGTAGTTTATGATCTCATTTGATCAAATTAGATAAGGGCATATCGTCATATGTAAGACGATTTTGAAAAATTTAATATTAATTCATGATCTTGTAAGCAGAATAAAAATCATTCAAATCAATAATTACTGCATCTTTAATAGAATTACTGCCGGATCCACAATAAATAATTGTTACAAATAGCTCAATTGATCCTTTCAACAACAAAGAAATAGAACTGATATATAGCAAAAGTAATGAAGATCCCAATACTGATCTGTGTGGAACCATGTCAAATATCTACACTGACTGATATTTTTTCCCACGTTCACAAACTGTTCACGGTTTTCTGAAAAAACTTTTAAACAAATGATAAGTATTATACCTGATTCGGATACTATCTAATTTTTTCAGTGAAATGAATACTTAACAGAGTCGCGTAAATTCAGTGATACAACCATACATTTTTGATCGTAATCAATTTTTTGTTGTTTGAAAGATGTGACATCTTGGGTTGCTTTCTCTATATCTCTGAATTCACGAAATCCATCAATATGTTTAATCAAAAATTTATAAATATTTCAAATATTTTTGGAAAGACAGGGGAAACTGATATGATTCTATAATTATTCATATCGAATTTTGTTCTGCCCAACCTCTACTTGAAAGTTTACCCTGTACCGGGATAGTTTGCTTCTTCGTTTTTGTGAGTATAAATCACTTTCTAGATTTGTTTCAGCCAACAATTCCTGAAGAAACTGCTATGTCATATAAAATCCGCATTAGGGATATGCTAGAAGATCAACGCATTGGTCCGGAATTAAGAGTTCAAGATTTCGATGAGTTTCTGCCTCTTATCAACGGACAGGACGAACAGTTCATAGAGCAATTTCTTCAACGTGATCATTCGTTCGACGAGTACGTTAAGCAAATTCTCAAGTATAAATTGATAATGGACCGTATTCCATTGGCCACGGAACACGTTATTCGTATGGAAATGTACGACATGAACAGAGAGGATCTGATCAGAACGTTAGAAATGACAGCGGAAAATTTTAAGGAAACTCTCATACATCGTTGTACTAAAAATTACCAGCAGATATGCAAAGCGTAAGTGTCGAAGATATTGTTCAATTCAAACCTTGAAGTGCCTCTTGTTACGGNCAAATCAAGAAAAATTGCAAGACACTTTTTTGAATTGTCTAAGGCCTCCGATGCTTGCTTAAATAAATCTAAAACAGCTAGTTCAATATTACTTCCATTAATGAATCCATACTGCCTTTCTGTTAATACCTCATTTTTTTGAAAAAATTCCAGTAGGCGAATTTTGAGGGCATGCTCCTAAAGTTAATGTTGAAGTTAAACTGATTGGTAAATTTCATTTAGCTACTGTTATCCGGTCAAATTAGACCAAAAAATTGGAGTGAAGATACAGAAATTCGAACCCTGTTCAAAACTGGTAGGATTATTGAAAACATTATCATAAATGGAGTCTCGGGGTGAAAGATACAAAACGGGTTTTTCACGATTTTTAGAAAAACGGTTAATTTTATCATGAAATTAATTCAGACAAAACTTTTTGGATCAGATAAATATCTGTCCTGATACGTTTTCTCCTAAAAGCCACTGTTTCTGAGATATAACGAATCATCTGATCTACAATAATAATAATAAATCAGTAGAATGTCATTTGAGATATGGAATTCCCTTCTGGAGAGTGTTCTAGCACCCACTTGTTTTCAATATTTTTGTTAAAAAAGCGATACGTTATTTATTCAAAATAAAGCAAGACTTCTGTAGGCCTGTATTTAGTACAGATGAAATTATGACAATTTATGCCATTTTTATATTGGAAACGCGTGCTTTATAAACAAACATAAGTGAAATTTCCTCTGGTCTTTTCCAAATATTTCACTTGCCAGAATCCCGATTTCAAACTACCTCTACCAACGTTGACACTTACTAAAAGTTCAGTGTTTCATAAAGACCTAAAAAATTTTAATCAACTATATAGAAAGCTCTACAGAATTCAGGAAAGCAATCAAAGTTCCAGTCTCTAATAAAGCCTATTCTAGTTTAGAAGAATTTTTCGACGATAACTTCTACTGAGATTTTCTCTGAAGTAGGCTAAACATATTTGATGGTATCGGCTTATACTTGATGAACATCCATGACGTATTCAAGATACACGTCATTGTGATTTTTCCAGTAAACAGTAAGAATATCATGATAATGTGTATTTTGAATAGGCCAAACAATAGGTATCAATTCAATTCAATTCAATTCAATTTTATTTGGAATATGTTAATATACAATTTATTAATATTATGGTTAGGACCACTAGGAGATGAGGAAAGCAGCCTAAGCGCAGGTGGCTTGTAATGTACTTCCGTCTGTCTCCCCGTGGAAGTACTTTAAAAATATATCAGGCACAAAAGTAAAGATTAAATAACTGTTGCAGTTGTATTATTGAATAGACAGATGAAGCTGGTATATTTTATGAGAATAAGTACCTATAATTATCTATACATCTAGGTTTACATAATGTTGGAAATAGGTACACATACACTGAAAGACACATTGGAAGATTAGAAAATGTACTGAGTGATGTTTCTGGGTTATTGGGTATGTTTGAATAAGCTGTTTATACGGGTATTATTCACAATTATGAATTCTTTTGTATTTTTTTTATACTTTAAAAATGTGGTATTTATCTTTATTTCAAGGGGAAGCATGTTATACAGTTTTGGAGCGAAATAGTAGACTGATTATCTTAATAATACAGCGAGAGACTAGCGTCCAAATCCATGATAGTAATTGTGATATTATAATTCTAATTCTTCAATATCGTTAATTCGAATCTGCAATGTACTGCAAGACAATCTATTTTTTCCACTGAAATCTTCGAAATTATATAGCCTGAGAAATTCTACTTATTTAAAATGAAAATTTACCTGTGTATCCACTTGACGAAACAAACGAAGGTATATTTCCCAATATCTTATGTAGCTAGTTTAGATACTCATTAGCATTATACTAGGCAATTCAATCATTTGAAAACTGCAATAATTGAAACTGAATTTGAAAAAAAACCATTAAATTCTCACGGAATAACAACTTTGTTGTGAGATTTTCACTAAACAGTTTTATAAAAACGCAACACGTATTTCGCCATACAATGACTTTTTCGGGTGTGTCTTTACTAACTAGAGTTAGTGCAACTGTTTTTTTTGAATACGTTATGGATTTTCATTAAGTATCTCCCAATTCCATCATATTCACCATTGCTTTAATAGCTTACTAGCGATTTACAGAGTAAAAATATTCAAAAAATCATTATGGACTTTGAAAAAAATTACCTAAAAAGTATGGCAGAATGAAGAAATCTATTTTGTTTTTTTCAATGTTACTTTATTGTCATTCGGAAAAGTATTATTTGAGAAGAAAGCACAAAATACTTTCGCCGCTTTCTGGAAATCTTGTAGTCTTACTCAAATGTAACGTTTCATTTCACGAAACTGTTTCAGGTATCTGCATATGCCAAAAGTTTTGGAAGAACACAGGCAAATGGTTGATACTAAAATTGATGAATTTCAAGTTCAACTGGCGACGAAGATTCAGAAATTTAAAGAAGATTTGGAAGTATACGCCAAAATGGTTGATGATCTTCAATACAACGGAAATATTGAAGACTTGCCTAGATATCATAAAAAGGCTACGAAACTTGATGAGAGGTATGTGTAGATTCGAATAACGTAATTGGATACTCTAAATTTCCAATCATAAAAAATAATTTTTATTATTTCGATTATTCAATTTATAATTTGAGAAAAAAAGTTAATAGGCGAATAAAGTAAAGGCAATGACATTAAACTTACGAAGAGGCCATCTATGGGATCGACAGAAAACTCAATCCACGAGTATCAAATCTATTGCAAAGCCATGCTTCGACATTCAGCTCCGAACAGTATTCGTTCTATGTCTTGCACAGCAAAAACTTGTTGCAACTAGATACCAAATCATCCGGTACCCAACGACCCTCTCTAGGTTTCATCAGTGATGCAAGGCTGAACAACGTATACATTGCTGGATTCAATTGTTCTTAAAGGACTAGCATGAGTAAGCAGAGGCTTTCCTGCATCCAGTCTTCTGTCGATTCCATAGATGGGTTCTTCGTAAGGGCAGATGTTATCGTCTTAATTTTCTCAGGCTTTTTTTAAAGAATAGCTGAATGCTGCACGTTGAATCACGAATACGAATTGTTTTTGGGCTATGGTTTCAACTGTATTAATGACGTTTGTCAGCTGATCAATCTCCTATTGGCTAGTATCCTAATTTCAGAGCTAATGTTACCTATTAAAAAAAAAATAAAACTTTAAATCTCTACAGAATGTACCTATGTATTTTCTACGGAGAGTGTCAGGGATGGAAGGTGAGAGTGCACCATGATGACATGTTTGCAGCTTGGATCTTTTCATTTTCTGTTGCTTCATTTCTGTAAGAGGACATCTTTAGTAGTGGTCACCACTGACTATCACGAAAAGATAAAACGCGGTTTATAAATTGTTCAAATCACTATTCTGCTGCTCAAAAATATTTGGGAGATAGTGTCGAATAAAAGAAGTCTAGGTCTTACCAAAGATGCATAAAAACCCTTGTGTTCAAACAGATTCGCTTTTGTTTTGTCGAAAACTCTCGACGCAAAAAATGAGATTATACGATATATTGATAGATGAAGCAAAAATCGAAATCTGACGTTCTTATTTTATTCAGCTTTTTAATTTATGCAACATAATGTAAAACATCTTTCATTCAATATCAATTTATTCCCAAATAAATGAACATTGTCTATTGCAGTACCAATTTGACATTGTCAAGCAATGTCACTTTTGAGAGTATTGAGCACCTCTATGAATGAGAGGCTGCACCTTATAATATCTCATCATTGTTTCATCAAGGGTGCCATTGATCGAGAGTTTTTGCTAAAGAACTTCACATGGGGAAGGGGTACAAGTGATCACACCAGAACTTTTTTATGCATCTTGGTCTCACCTTACAAGCGATCCTAATCACGGTCAAAAATAAATAAAGAGATCCAAGATAACAGCGCTGTTTTACAATTTCTTTCAAAACTCAGAAAACATTGTAACTTCATGGATTCATTGCGTTGTTTCCCATTTAATCTTTATATGAAAGTAGTTGTTGTTTTTTTTAACCATTTCTTGATCTGGTTCCGCCTATTTTTTATTCCTGTCCGCCTATTTTTTATTTTCTTCATGACGATTCTAGTCTAGAACGATGTTATTGTTGGATCCATCAATATCCTATGTGGGACCTTGCTATCTGTAAGGTTAGGTACTGATTCGCCTATTTCGTTGACCTCTTGCACATTGCAACATTCAATACATTTTGCTTGAAAGACTGGTAATAATTGACTAACAGAGAAGCCGTGATGTGACTGCTTCTGCTATCTGTAAGAAGTAAGAATACTGATTCACTTATTTTGTTGACTTCTTGCACTTTGCAAGAATTCATTAAATTCGCCTGAAAGACTTGTGTTTATTGACCAAGAGGGTAGCAATAGCGTAAATTTTTGACTGTTTAAAAAATCTGTTCTGTTTTTCCGTTAACCAGCTGTCGCACCCCTACGAACGACAACCCTCAGAAGTCGAAACTTATGCGACCTAAAGACTAATGGGTTCTTACTTTTTAACGTTTGATTCTTTACACGGGTTGGACGATAGCAAATGAAAATCGATCGTTCAGCCTGGGGCTTGAACCAGCGACCAACACGGCGGTCAATTTGAGTCGGGGATAACAGTCAGCTACCGTCCGACGATGTACATGTTTGATGTACATATTTCAAACTGTATGTTTTTCCATATCTCTTGTAAGTCGGTGAATATGCCAGTCTGAATTGGTTCACTCTTGTTTTTTTTTAATTGTAAGATTCAAATGTTCACAGAGCCGCTAAATATTACTATCATTCCCAAATGAATAAGTATTGTCATCTAGCTTAGTGTAATATAACACATTGTGCATCGAGTGACTTTTTTTGAGACATTTTCGAGAATATTTCTATTCAATATTTAACTCTGCTTGAAAAATAAGGCAAACTGGCATTCATTATAATGTTTAGTCCTGATTTCGAGGACAATTCCTTGGTACTCGTACCACTACTGTCTTCCCCATATCGATCGGGTATACCAATCTCCCCATCTGAAGTCCAGAAACTACGACTAACGCGTAGAAAGTGCATTAGTTCTTCACATCGTTTCCTCTGCTAAACGGAAAACAGGAAATGCAAGTTCCAGTTTTCTTAAATTATAGCGAGGTGAACCCACTTTTTTCAATTATTTGACGTCATCTTTCGCAATTAAGGTTTGCTATCTCAATTCGGCGAGTCATTCTGATAGAACAATATGGTGGTAGAAGGATGGAGAAAATGGCCAAATGGAAAGGAAAGTCGATAGAGAAATTGACTTTCTTCCATATTATTTGGAGTGTCATAATTCATTTTGGTACTGATCAGTATTCTAAAATAGATCAAGTGGAAGCCTTCTGAATAATCATATGCAGCTGATGAACTAAATTCCATGAGAGAGTGTTTCTGATACTCATTCCCAGCATAATGAAGATCAGGTGGGTTAGAGACTCTGGTCATTGCTAAAGCAGATATAGTGGTGTTGACTTTATTTATAAAAGGATTGACTGGTTAGGTGTTGTTGAATATAATCGAAGGCAGATTTGCGGTCTTTTGTCTCTTTGTACAACTAATCCTGGCTTAGTACGATCTATTTCATTACCACAAGTCGAAGAGCTTTGTAAAGCGTGAATAACTTCTTCAATTTTTTTTACAGACTTATTACTGCAATGGAACGCATAGATCAATTCAATGAAGAGGAACAAGCTTTCGGTTTCGAGTTATCTCAGTATCCCCAAAGGAAAATCATTTACGATAAACTTGTACCATATAAAAAATTGTATGATAATTCGACAGATTTCCTTAACAAATACGATCTCTGGATGAAGTCCCAGGTGGGAACGCATGATCCCGAGGAGATCGAGACTGATGTTGGGACATACTTCAGAAATATTTATAAATTAGAAAAAGTGTTCGCCGATAAACCCGCGACAATTGGAGAAAATAATTGACTATGGATTGGACGACTATATCGATAAGTTTGAAGCTATATCCGAAGCCGCTACTAAGGAGAACAACCTAGAGAAGGCTCTCAATAAAATGATGAACGAATGGCAAGATATGGAGTTTAGCGTCTTGGTATATAGAGATACAGGAACATACATTTTGTCAGCAGTCGACGATATCCAAGTTCTTCTCGATGATCATATAGTGAAAACGCAAACGATGAAGAATTCTCCTTACATCAAACCATTCGAGAAACAAATTTTGTGAGTTGAATAATATTTAGTGAATACAATATTCAGATAATTATTGTGATAATCCTGTCTTACCCGCTCACATATTCCTTTTTCGGAGGGTAGTTTCAGTAAGGTAGGCTATTATATCAAACAGTCTTCTTCAACTTCTCTCTTTTCTTCAACTTCTAGCGGAGCGTTATTGTAGGTAGAGGTTTTCCAAAGCTGAAAATAGATCTTGATAATATTTTCGTAGATTTCCTTGGTCTATGTTGGTTGGTCTTAATATTGCAGATTTTGAAGGCAAGTAGGTTTTTCGGGCTTCCCCATACCAAGACTTTGAAGTTTATTTTTAAATTACTCTGATATTTGAGAGACTGGAGTTTTCTAAGAGCCAGTTTCTCAATATGAGAGGGAATTTTTTAAAATAATTCGAGTTCTTGACCAACCAGAGTTCGGAGCAAGAAGAGAGAGTTTTCCACAGAGTTATAAAAATCAGTCACCATTGGACCTACCATTAGCGGACACTGCGCTGGAAGAAGTTCCGTTACAAATCTCAGGTTTTTTCTACCATCATAAGATTTTTCAGATTTCTTAAGCACTTTCGAGGAAGATATCTTTTTCGTGAAGTCACTTCACTTCTTGGCAATACGGATTTTTGTGCCATGAGTCAATGTTTCTAGAAATACCTAAATGCTTGTGTCTTGTTTTGCTTGATAGATGTGTGTGATTTACGACTTTCTTTCACCTAAATCCGTCTCTGAGTTCGCTAATTCAATAAAAATTATATCCTAATTCGTTTTTAGAGACTGGGAACAGAAATTACAACTACTTCAAGAAATTCTCGACGAATGGTTAAAAGTTCAATCTACATGGATGTATCTAGAGCCAATATTTTCATCTCCTGACATTCAGCAACAAATGCCTGAAGAAGGGAGGCGATTTAGTGCAGTTGATAAGGTAGTATATGTCATACGAATAACATAAATCAGCACATATCACCGATAATAATGTACTCATGACTTTATATATATTTACAGATTTGGAGAGACTTGATGAAGACAGTGTTCACAGATTGTAAAGTTTTGGCCGTTGTGGAGATAGATAAGATGGCGGAAAGGTTGAAGAAATGTAATAATCTATTAGAACTGATTCAGAGAGGTCTCAATGATTATTTGGAGAAGAAGAGACTTTACTTTCCAAGGTTCTTTTTTCTGTCTAATGATGAGCTGTTAGAAATTTTGTCAGAAACGAAAGACCCGACGAGGTAGGATGTATTTACTTTATCTATGAGCTGTTTTTGTTTGTGTTTGTTTTACGGGTTGAAAATTTATACTGAACGGAACTGATGTAATATTAATCACTGACATACTTTACAGGGTTCAACCTCATCTGAAGAAATGTTTCGAAGGAATAGCGAAACTGACCTTCACCGAAGATATGGACGTTACACAAATGAGATCCAGTGAGGGCGAAATTGTTCCATTAGTCGACGTTATTCAAACTGCCCTGGCTCGTGGTCAAGTGGAAAAGTGGTTAGTTGAACTTGAAGTTGACATGAAGAAGTCTGTACATAATATGGTTGCTGCTTCCATAGTGGATTATCCAAACCTACCAAGAGAAAAGGTGAGAAGAAAACTTTCAAATCCTAGGCACATCAAATAAATTGTTATGATAATTCTCCTGAATATTTTCTTCTCTTTTGGTATTTTTTTCGTCAGTATAACATTCATTTGCAGTGGGTATTAAAATGGCCTGGGCAATGCATCCAATCTGTGGGATGTACTTTTTGGACTACAGAGGTGACAGCTGCGATTGATGCGAGCCTGGATCATATGAAAAAATACTTAGATAAGTCTATTCAGCAAATAAACAAGATAGTTGACTTGGTGAGAGGAAAACTGAACTTGCAAAATCGAATAACCTTAGGTAATTCATCATTGAGTTTGATGTATATTTGAATGATAACTGCTATATCAAACTTCAGTTTGATACTTTGGGAAATAAATTGACGATATCTATTTGTATAAGTAATGTTAGATTTACTTAAGATAAGTCGTGAGTAGGAATAAAAATTGTAGGTTCGCCTTTTCTTTATTTTTATGAAATGGATCTGAAAAATATGTGATGGAATAGCTTTCACGATCAACTTGCTATATCATATGAAACACATTCGGAAAATTTAAAAGTTGAACGTTTGAACATTTTGTTTATTCGGTAATATACATCATATTTCGATATATTTCAACTTATCAGGATAACTTGAGGAAGAAGTTTGGTCCAAACGTCATATCCTTGATTGTTTCTCTTCTGCTAACTACGTAATGTTTCTCCAGGAGCATTAGTTGTACTGGATGTCCACGCTAGAGACGTTTTGTCAGGATTGATTAATGATGGAGTGAAGAACGTACACGATTTCAAATGGCTCTGTCAGCTTCGTTACTATTGGGAGGTAAGAACTTCTCTCTATGAATTTTATGCTTATAAATATTTTTTTTCAAATAAACTACACTGATTCATACAGTAAAGGTATACAAGAAATATTCATAAATAAACTAAGTGACAAAGAAAGGTAAACATACATTTATATTGAAAATAACGAGTAAGTTTTCAGAGAAATTGGATGATCGTGAAACCAGTGAAGTTCAGTAGTGTGTTGCAGATCCTCGATGTCTTATACACTCGTTGATACGTCTGGTCATTCCAACTCATGCAGCCGAAGTCTGTAGGGGCTGTTGTAAATTCAGCAGTCTGCGACCAAGAATATTCCACACATGTTCGATCGGTGAAATAACGGGCGATCAGGGTGGCCATGGTAAGCGGTTAATGTCACGCTGATCCATGAAGTCTAGTGTTACTCTAGCCACATGCGATCTAGCGTTGTCTTGTCTTGATATGGAAGGACGTGAGGCTCCACTACTTCGTGAATGTAACGAAGAGCTGTCATGTTGCCTCTAATAAGGACTGAAGGTGTTCTGCTACCTTATGCAATGACACCCTATACCATTAAAGTATGGTGAAAATGCCTCTCCACATCAAAATGGGGATCTCGTCTTTCACTACGACGCCTTCTTACTCTTGCTCGTTCATCGTGCATACCCAAACAAAAGTGAGATTCATCGCTGAAGACTACGCGGTTCCACTGTTGATCCCGATTTATTCTGTCTCTGCGTTGGTTGCGTCGATGCTCGAGAGTCATTGGCAACACCCGATGGGGATGATAAGAAAAAAGTCCGAAACTTTTTTCCGTGTTCTTCATACTACTGATAGCAATTGCCCTAGTAGAAATGAACCGATCCCTAAGAGCCAAAAGTCTTGATCGGCGATCCTCACGCGGACCGGTGCCCCTAGGTCTGTGTTCTTGGCCTTCTTGGATCAATGCCTGATAACATTTCAGAATAGTACGCAAAGATCAATTGATTCTTCTTGAAATTTCTCTAACTGAAAAACCTGCCTCACGCAAGCCAACAATTCGTCCTCCCTCGAATTCACTCATTTGAGGAATACGATGAGGTCTTCGCACTCGAGGCATAGTGTTAACAATATGAAACACTCAACAACAAACTCTTTAACAGTTGAAGCACAAATGAAAATAATATTGGGGAAATGGTAAATGTTCACACAAAAAAACAGTTAAAAAACTGATCAGAATAGCTCTCGATACGGCTGAAATTTTACTGGCCTCAACATAAATACACATGCAAAACGTTATTGAAATATTTTCAATATAAATTGGCTGTTTACTTTTCTTTGTCACTTAGTATAAATTTATAACTTCAAAGGACGCTATTTCAGAATTAGTCTGAATATTAACAAAAACAAGCAAACATGATAATGAAAGTTATGACAACCAATGTGGCTTTGATGCCAATTTGAATTTTGCCGTGAAAAATTGTTTGTCATTTGGTGATTCATTATAGGCGATTTTCTCTTTGTGAAATATACATTCTCAGGAGAATATAGATTCGAGATTTTTTGTTAACAGATTATGGAGCTTTCTAGTTTGATGATTAGGTATATTTCTACGTTCTATAAATTTCATAGTGAAATAGTTTTTCATTCATCATGATGGACTGCAGAAAGACGTATACTTTTAATTTATAGATAGAATTGGGTGGGAGGGTAGTCGGTTGGACTGGCGTGAGCAGTTTGTTTGACTCATTCGATCAACTGTCAGGTGAAACGGTGGTTCGAGTCACGAGGCCGGACCTCGTTAATCCTCGGCACGGACAAGTTTTGACTTTTTGAGGATTGTTGTTTTTGAGAAGAGACAGCTGGTTGACAAAAAAACAGATGTTGAACAAATATGCTTTTGTTTTGCCGCGTAATTGGTTTTTAAATGACAACTGCTCTTTATTAATTGATATTTATATTACTTACAATGAAACCTGTAGTTAATATAAATGAAATATAATGAATGTTAGGGGTTCGGACGACATATCTTAAATATGTGAGGAGAAAAAAATTAATAGAATAATAATAATAATACCAGAACCAAAATATTCGGATGAGTAGAAATAAACAAGGGGTGTGAAATATGAAAATAAAAGAATCCAAGTACCTATAAGACGAATCAATGTGATCTGAAATGGAAATAAACTATTAAATGAGTTGGATAAAATGTGAAATATCAATGATAAACGACATTTCGATTGTCAGTATCCACAATCGCCTTCGGGTAAGAAAAAAATATGGAATAACTTCCAACGGAAGGAATGAAGCCTTTAAGTTCAAAATGAACTCTTTACAAAGATGTGTAGATCATGCATATAAGGTACTTTCAGATACAAACTGGTAAAAAAGCCCTCCCGAAACAACTACTTCCACACGAACATTAAATTATCCGAAAAAATACTTTGAAAATAACTACAATTAACTATATGAACATTGAACTATAAGATAATCATTTTTTCCTATTCAGTTTGTATTCCAAATATTTGTTATGGAACGCTACACAATACAATATATGAAACAGTCAAATAAAATAGTCAATAATGTATTACTTGCTCCTTACTTTCATCATATGAAAAATGTTATTCTAGGAAGTACATCCATTAGCGACTTCTTCATTCAAAACAATTTTTTAATAGAGCTGAATATATTACAGAAGATATTTGCTTTTTAAATGAGGAAGTGGAATAATTTGTTGCAGGAAAACAACATGGTTACCTCAATGATCAACTCTAGTTTGAAATACGGTTACGAATACCTGGGAAATACAACAAGATTGGTAGTTACACCCCTGACTGATAGGTGTTATAGAACTCTGTTTGGGGCATTACATCTTCATTTAGGTACGCTAAGTGAGATAACATGGTAGTTTTAAGAAATTTGAATGTTGGATAACCTTTAATTTTTTTCTTTCGAAAGGAGGAGCTCCTGAAGGACCTGCTGGTACGGGTAAAACCGAGACAACCAAAGATTTGGCTAAAGCCGTTGCCAAGCAGTGTGTTGTGTTCAACTGTTCCGATGGGTTGGACTATATCGCTCTGGGAAAATTCTTTAAGGTTTGTTATTTATTCGGCATACTACGATATCACTTTCTCAATAGTTCCATAAATAAATCCTGTTACTTTATATCATTAGTGTTTAGTTCATTTAGGTGATTGCTTTCAAGCTGCAAAGAGATATGCAGAAATCGATTTTTCATTCGGTGGTTTCTATAAAATCGACGAAATATACTGAAAATTGCGTCAGCTGCTGCCGACACTGGTCAACAGAAGAGGTCCGATCCTGCTTCACAACGTCCGTTAGTACGTTTCACCAATCTCCGCCCGAAAATCAAACTAATTGAGCGTCGAAGTTTTGTTTCACCCATCCTAGACCTCTCGCCAACCAACCACAATAACTTTCTCATCGAAAGAACTTCCGCCAATCAGGACCGAGCAAAAACGGCCTTCGTCGACTTCATAGAATCACGAACCCACAATTTTTATTCTGACGGAATTAATCGGCTTGTGTTACGTTAGCAAAACTACACTGATTCAAATGGCGCTTATTTCGATCGAATTGAATAAGTAATCACCGAGATATTACAGTTTATAGAAGACTCATAAAAGCGGACAAAACTTTTGAGAAGATTTATTTTATTCATTTCAGTACTTCAACTTAGAATACGTCAAATGAAATCTTTAAACATATATTTTTTCACTTTCATTTCGTTTTGCGTTTGTTTTGTACACATTAACTCATTTAATTCTGCTACATCATTATTACAAGTTTTCATCTGTAAGTTTTTAGTTATTCTTCTTCCCAATGAGAAAGCGTTTACTTTATTGGATTAAGATTTAGATTTGATACCCATATCACAACCGTTACCAAGGAAATGACAAATCGCTGTTTTTTTGGCGTCCGCCATAATTTGACTCAGAAAAGCGGCAAAATGTCCAAAGATAATTTTTCACACACAGTCATTATGAGTCAACTTACGCGATTTTTTGCCGTTACGTAAGTTTTTTTTTTCTAAGAAAACATAGTATTGCCAAATCATTCATTTAGGATTAATTGATGACTAAAATAACTAAAAACACTATCGGCACCATCTTACGGCAATGTCAGAACTACCCCACTTACTTTTACAACAATTTCTTAGATAAAAGCGCATCCTAGCTTCCACAAGTGTATATACATCTTGATAGCATCATATAATTGATCTGACATTGTCGCAAGAACAAAATTGTGTAAAATTTTCGGTCAATCGGTCGAAGTTAACTGGTTCAAAATGTAGTTTCAAGATTATTCCTACACTAACTGAGTGAATTACTACCGAGTCGACTTGAATTTTTTCAATAATTATTATGAGTGATCATTTCGGTATTTTCAGGGATTGGCATCTTGCGGAGCTTGGTCGTGCTTCGATGAATTCAACCGCATAGATCTGGAAGTACTTTCAGTGGTCGCACAGCAGATACTCACTATCCAACGTGGCATCAATTCAGGTAATGAGAAACTGCTCTTTGAAGGAACCGAACTCAATCTGGACCCGACCTGCGCTGTCTTCATCACCATGAATCCTGGCTATGCCGGAAGATCGGAATTACCAGATAACCTCAAGGCTCTGTTCCGATCCGTGGCTATGATGGTGCCTGATTACGCGATGATATCGGAGATCGAACTATATGCTTCCGGTTTCCTGACGGCGAAACCTTTGTCTGTCAAAATTGTGGCTACTTATAGATTATGTTCGGAACAGTTGTCGTCTCAACATCATTACGATTACGGTAAAGACTGCTGAAGTATGAGTTTAGAAAAATGAATATTAGGAGTTCGAAATTCCATTGCCTAAAAATGGACAAGCATATTCGAAACGTGATAAATAAATGAAGAATTGAAAATATTCATATAAATCAATTATAATATGAAAATTATGAAATCATATTGCGTGTGAAATTCAAAGCTGTAAGTTTAGGTGTAGATAATGTAATGCACATATTGAAAAAAAGAACATACTGAGAATAATACAACAAATGAAAATATGCGAAACTACAAAATTGTCAAACTATCTCAAAATATAGTTCTGTCTTGAATTTTGTGAGAAAAAACATTTTTGTAATCTGAGTTTGTTCCGGATATAATTGTAAAGCAAGCAACTCATAAGATCAGAAAGATATTAGTTTGAGGTCTTCTGAAATTTATTTTTCAATAATATTGCTATTTTTAGAAAAATGAATGAGGGTCCTATCATCAGCAAAAAGAATGATAGAATCACATAAATTCATTTCTGTGATAGAATTGATGTAAATTAGATATTGAGTCGGACTTAACACAGAACCTTGTGAAACTCCACACTTGATGGTTTACAATGAATTATTTTTTCCTGTATAAATGTATATTGCTTTCTATTGCTAAGATAATGTTGAAACCATGTGAATATTATTCCTCCAATGCCAATAAACTTTAACTTTTGCAAAAGAATATCATGATTTAGTAATACAGCTATAAGAGTGCCAGCCCAAAATCCTATGTATTTTTATGGTCCTTCATCCTGGACCTTTTAGGACCTTAGGCCCAGTTCACACGGAAGGGACAAAGGTCCGCACCTCGTCTCTGCCAGGCGTCCATTCTGTGTGAATTAGGTCTTAGACTTTCAGAGCCCACTCCTCAACTTTTGCTGGCATACAGTCGACCAATCAAAAGTTACCGCGCGTACAGCGGAAAATTCAAATCTAGTAGATGAACAACCAGGGCTTTAGGGTGGAAGTGGCTTATTAGTGTTTGCGGTGGTGTTATCGCTCTTTGAGAGATAACGATTCGAATATTGGATATAGAAGGTGTCGTTTCCAAACCATATCAATCAAATGGTATACAAGGTGTACGCAGCGTTAAGAAAAAAACAAGACTGTCAAGGCTATAATGCTGCACACAACATATATACCACGATGGCAGATATGTTTTTTCTTTAACGCTGGCAGCCATATTTTTTCTTCAACGCTGCGTACACCTTGATTCCATTTGATTGATGTGTTTCGAAACGACACCCTGTATACCCAATATTATTGTTCTCATAATCACACTTGAATCACACTTGTTCATCTACTAGATTTGAATTTCCCGCTGTACGCGCGATAGTTTCTGATTGGTCGACTGTATGACGGCAAAAGTGGAGGAGTGGGCTCTGAAAGTCTAAGGCCAATTCACACAAAATGGACGACTGGCAGAAACGAGGCCCGGACCTTTGTTTCTTCCGTGTGAACTGGGCATGAGGTCCAAAAAGGTCCAGAATGAAGCGCCATGAGAAAATACATGGGATTTTGGGCTGGAACTCCTATAGCTATATTACTTGATTTACTGTATCAAATGACTCTTGCGTATCAATTAATAACATACCACAAACATTTGAATCTATTTGAAGTTGAATTCTGAAAACCATATCCAATACAGGCGACTCTGAATTACTCCACCTGCAAAAACTATACTCTACTATAAAGGAAATCAATTTAAATAATCTGATAAGCTACTGCTTATTCATTTTCAATGATTTTCATTAGAATATAAAGAATTGAAATTGGTTGATAATTAAGTTTTTCATTGTGATCTTCATTTTCAAATGGATGTAAAATTTTTGCAATTTCACACAATTTGAGAAAAATACGTGTTTCAAAAGATGTATTGATGATTTTCTTCACGATGGCAATCAATTCATATTTCACTAGTTCAACAACTTTTACTGAAATCATATCAATTTTTTGTACAATGGAAGTCTGAACCTCTAACATTCAGTCAGAAAAATCACCAACTATATTCAAATATAAAGTAAATTTTTCACATTACAACAAAATGAAAGAATATGAAATCCATTAAAATCAACAGAAAATTAAATTCAATAAAAACTCAAAAAAGAAATTCCGTATCATCTCAAACGCTGAACTCTACGTAATCACAGCAACCTCATCACCTAGGGGGACGTAATTAAGATCGGATCGTATCGCTTCGTTTGTAGGACAGCAAATAAGGAACTCTAGTTTCCTGGGGCTTCAGCACGCATTTTTCCTGCACGGTCTTGACCGAAGAATCGTCTTACCTTATCCAGCAGTTGTAGCCGACGTTAAAGGCATCGGTCCCGTAATGTCCAATGTTGGCATTTTTGCCGTCGTGATAAACGGCGGCGAATAGCTTGTACTGCTTCTCTGTTGGAGACTGTATTTCCGACGTTACCAATATCGAATCAATCCAAACTTCAAAGCCTTTATAATCTTCTTGCAACCGTCGTGGCTTTATTTCAAAAACTTCAAATGCAATATGAGGATAACGGGAAGTTTCCAGAGCATTATCTGCTCCCACGCTTCGACCTTCTCGTTAGTTTTCGTGTTCTTGGAGACGAGTATCTTGAGCACTTCTTTAACAATCTTTACATTCTCAATGTTGATTGGCAGGGTGAGGAAAGGCTGGATATTCCCAGTGATTTGGTCCCCAGTATGATGAATGCTCGACTTTAGTTGCCCCCGAAGATATCACTTACGTGTATTGGTGAAGTCGATCCTTCTGGTTAGATTTCCTTTATTTTTCGATGGCATTACGTTCCTTTCATTATTTGAATCATTGCTCAAAGTAGAGTCAACGGGAGGTTTTTCATCCCTAGTGTAATATTTAACCAACTCCTTCAGCTTAAACATTACATCATTGAGTCCATTCAAGAGAAAATCTAGAAACTCTTTCGCATCTTGTTGTCTACCCTCGATCCAGTCGGTCCGCATGTTATATGCAACATTTTATAAATCCATGTCGGACCAAATGGGATGCCAGTATTGATTATAACTTCTTGGTCATTCTTGGCATTTTTATCCACTCTCCCGTCTTTCGTTCTAATGTAGGAAGGCAAGTAAACAAACTGCTCCACAAAACGACACATTCTATATACAGTGACACGATTAAAGTGCGCACCATATGGGAACTAGAATAAAGTTACCGTTTTGCTTATTTTTGACAGATATATCCCCTTTATTTTAAAAAACAAGTTCGGTTAATTGTCATAAATTCATGTATACATAACAAACTGATCATGGAGTTTAACTTTTCTGATAAATTTTTACTTATACGGACATTTTTAGAGAGAAATTAAAAATGTGCTTTAAAAATTTTAACATGACTGGTGCAAAGTTTCAATCACTTGGCTATTTTCTTAAACAAACGTCAGTACCTTCAATTTTGAAAAAGCAGACACAACTCAAAAACTGCAATTGGTATCAATAAAATTACTAGAGTTGGAATCACATTAAAATTTCAATATTCAGTATTTACAGATTATTTATAAACACTAACTAGGGCGGTAAGGATGCTTAATCACGTCGAATAAATTTTTTAAGTAGGTCTTGACAAACAAAATGCATGCTATGGTAGTGTCAAGTTGTTGATTTACTTGTCAAATTTTCAACAGTTATTGTTGCAATAATGTTGTNATCCTAGTTGCATAAAATTTGGCATATGGATATAAAATTGCCGTAGACACAACTTTTTCAAGTAACTTTTTGTTAAATTCGATCTAGAAATGTACTTTTTCATTTTTTTTCAAAAAAAAAGGTGAATTTGGCAAACACTGAACGTCAGTGGGTCGCAGTTGGCCGCATTATTTTAAGTTAAATTTAAAGCACAAACAAGTGCCGAAGTTAAACTTCATTGAAACTTTTCGAAAAAAAAGTTTCTCATATGATGCGCACTTTAATGCTGACACTGTATATAATATAACTGGGAAAGATTTTATTCTCAAGTTCGACGATATGTTCTTGCTCAGACTGCTCAGTAAGTTGAAGAATGTCGGAGATGCGAACAGGGTTTGCAAAATCGAGTTGATTTAGCAGTGAGTGCTTTGATTAAGCAGACCCCTTCGCTGCAAGTTCACTGGCCTACCGTCGATCATGTTTGTAGGTAGAAACTTGCCAATCCTATAACAGTTTAGATCTACAAACTGGTGGGACCTTCTGAAGTGCTTGAAGAGGCATATGAGAAGATTGTTATTGAACTCGTTTTCGGCGTCCTGGTCAAAAGTGACTTCGTCGAAATTGTTGACGGGTTCAGACAAAACATCGGCATTGTCTGATTTGGAAAGACTTACTTACGATTTTGTAACAGAATTCTATTAGTTAGTGTACGGGTTCAGCCAGAGGATTCAGTTTAGCCCCATTTCGAATACCTTCCTCCTGTTCCGTCAAAGCTTGACAATTATTATGCAGGTCCTCCACTACATTGCTCATCTCTGGTTCGTGCACTGTCTGCTGATACTCGTATCTACTGTTGTGAGAATAACCATGAATGGCAAAAACATGTGTACAAAAACATAAAGATGAGGAAGGGACATTAGAGAAATTATTATTGATATTATTAGAAATATAATAGTTTAAATTAAAATTGAATTTTGGTGGTATTATTCGAAATTTTTATTAATTACGAATTGAATTTTAGGTATGCGAGCTGTGAAATCAGTATTAAGAGCTGCAGCAGCATTGAAGCTGAGATATCCCGATGAAAGAGAAGACATACTGGTCCTGAGAAGCATAATCGATATCAACTTGGCTAAGTTTCTTTTCCATGATGTTCCTTTATTCAATGTAACTACATTTCTTTTTTTAATGTGAGTATAACCGAACAAGAGGTATTTCAGGGTATCACTTCTGACTTATTCCCTGGAGTTGTATTACCTGTACCAGATTATGTCGTTTTGAATAAAGCTGTGGAAGATGCTTGCAAAGCTAGTAATCTGCAGTGTACACGTATTTTCCTGGAGAAGGTGCAACAGTTGTATGAGATGATTATAGTCAGGCATGGATTGATGATTGTTGGTCTACCATTCGCCGGAAAAACTAGTTGTTACCGAGTACTGGCAGATGCCTTAGGGCTTGTGGAAGAAAGGGTGGGTAGTTCTACTACCAAATTTGAGGTTTCTATGTTTGGTACCATAATGTTCTTTTCCTAATTTAGGGCGGTATGGATGAACATAAAACCGTTTATACAGTCATGAATCCCAAATCTATAACACTGGGTCAACTATATGGTCAGTTTGATCCAGTATCACATGAATGGTCAGATGGGGTGTTAGCTGTGAGTTTTCGCCAATTTGCCATGTCAACTACAGAAGATAGGTTGGTGATAGTATCATGCATGAGTGAAATAATGTATAGGTAAACTCGATGTGTTTTACAGAAAATGGTTGATATTTGACGGGCCCGTTGATGCGGTATGGATTGAAAACATGAATACTGTACTCGATGATAACAAAAAGTTATGCTTGATGTCTGGAGAAATCATTCAGCTAGCGAATACAACCAATCTGATATTTGAACCAATGGACTTGGATGTAGCTTCGCCGGCTACTGTAACTATCATTTTTAATTACACTGTTAAATTATAAAGAAAATGTTCAAGATAAGTTATTTTCAGGTTTCCAGATGTGGAATGATTTACATGGAACCAAGTTCTTTGGGTTGGGAACCGCTTCTTCTCTCATGGCTGAACACTTTACCATCATTCATCAATAATGACTTTTATAAGACCATGATTTATAACTTGTTCATCCGATTTTGTAAACCACTAATTTGGCTTATACGAAAAGGTGGAGTCAGGGTAAGAATTATGAAAACTCAATAGTTTATTCTCATTTCAGTTTCAGAACTACAGAGAATGAACTTTTTTCAATGTATCCCAATAGCACTTCATTATGAGATTTTCACTTGACAGTTCACAAAACCGCAACACCTGTGTCACGACATAATACCTTCCTCAGGCGTATTTATGCTGACTGAATTCTACCTAATTGGTGCTTCATATATTATTACAATTTAAATCACATGATCTACTTAATGACTAAAATTTTATGTGAGTTTAGATATAAGAAATGAACATGTTTTAAACAAATAACCGATTTTGAAATTGGAAAATACACTCGAAAGAGAGAAAGAATTCAATTATTTTTGGTCATTCAGCAAATATATAGTATTTTTGAATCTATTAATTTCCAAGCATTCCAAACGATTGAGTTTGAAACCTTTTTCTACCAAATATAATAAGTGATAGTCATAGTTGAATTCATGTTCCTCTACCAAAAGATGGTTTTGTCTTTATATTTGAAAAACTAATACTTTAATGTTTCTTCAGTAACCTTTAGGAAAAGGTTCTCCCTGTTTGACCAATATAAAAAAATTTGCCAAGAAAACCACATTTCAACTTATATACTCCTGATCTATCCAACACTGAATTTTTTCTTCATTGTTTTGAAAAAAATTGCTCAAAATATTATTTGTTCTGTGAGCCACATAAAAGTATTTCTTTTTAANAGATGTTGAACAAATATGCTTTTGTTTTGCCGCGTAATTGGTTTTTAAATGACAACTGCTCTTTATTAATTGATATTTATATTACTTACAATGAAACCTGTAGTTAATATAAATGAAATATAATGAATGTTGAGAGTTCGGACGACATATCTTAAATATGTGAGGAGAAAAAAATTAATAGAATAATAATAATAATACCAGAACCAAAATATTCGGATGAGTAGAAATAAACAAGGGGTGTGAAATATGAAAATAAAAGAATCCAAGTACCTAGAAGACGAATCAATGTGATCTGAAATGGAAATAAACTTTTAAATGAGTTGGATAAAATGTGAAATATCAATGATAAACAACATTTCGATTGTCAGTATCCACAATCGCCTTCGGGTAAGAAAAAAATATGGAATAACTTCCAACGGAAGGAATGAAGCCTTTAAGTTCAAAATGAACTCTTTACAAAGATGTGTAGATCATGCATATAAGGTACTTTCAGATACAAACTGGTAAAAAAGCACTCCCGAAACAACTACTTCCACACGAACATTAAATTATCCGAAAAAATACTTTGAAAATAACTACAATTAACTATATGAACATTGAACTATAAGATAATCATTTTTTCCTATTCAGTTTGTATTCCAAATATTTGTTATGGAACGCTACACAATACAATATATGAAACAGTCAAATAAAATAGTCAATAATATATTACTTGCTCCTTACTTTCATCATATGAAAAATGTTATTCTAGGAAGTACATCCATTAGCGACTTCTTCATTCAAAACAATTTTTTAATAGAGCTGAATATATTACAGAAGATATTTGCTTTTTAAATGAGGAAGTGGAATAATTTGTTGCAGGAAAACAACATGGTTACCTCAATGATCAACTCTAGTTTGAAATACGGTTACGAATACCTGGGAAATACAACAAGATTGGTAGTTACACCCCTGACTGATAGGTGTTATAGAACTCTGTTTGGGGCATTACATCTTCATTTAGGTACGCTAAGTGAGATAACATGGTAGTTTTAAGAAATTTGAATGTTGGATAACCTTTAATTTTTTTCTTTCGAAAGGAGGAGCTCCTGAAGGACCTGCTGGTACGGGTAAAACCGAGACAACCAAAGATTTGGCTAAAGCCGTTGCCAAGCAGTGTGTTGTGTTCAACTGTTCCGATGGGTTGGACTATATCGCTCTGGGAAAATTCTTTAAGGTTTGTTATTTATTCGGCATACTACGATATCACTTTCTCAATAGTTCCATAAATAAATACTGTTACATTATATAATTAGTGTTCAGTTCATTTAGTTGATTGCTTTCAAGCTGCAAAGAGATATGCAGAAATAGATTTTTCATTCGGTGATTTCTATAAAATCGACGAAATATACCGAAAATTGCGTCAGCTGCTGCCGACACTGGTCAACAGAAGAGGTCCGATCCTGCTTCACAACAACGTCCGTTAGTACGTATCACCAATCTCCGCTCGAAAATCAAACGAATTGAGCGTCGAAGTTTTGTTTCACCCATCCCAGACCTCTCGCCAACTAACCACCATCTTTTCAAGCACTTCGATAACTTTCTCATCGAAAGAACCTTCACCAATCAGGACCGGGCAAAAACGGCCTTCGTCGACTTCATCGAATCCCGAACCAACAATTTTTTATTCTGACGGAAGTAATCGACTTGTGTTACGTTAGCAAAACTACACTGATTCAAATGGCGCTTATTTCGATCGAATTGAATAAGTAATCACCGAGATATTACAGTTTATAGTAGACAAAACTTTTGAGACGATTTATTTTATTCATTTCAGTGCTTCAACTTAGAATACGTCAAATAAAATCTTTGAAAAAATATTTTTTCACTTTTTCAGTGCTTCAACTTAGAATACGTCAAATAAAATATTTAAAAAAATATTTTTTCACTTTACGTTATGTTTCACATAAGAAAACGAAAATAACTATTATTGTAAGACTAGGGATATATACCTGTCTCGTGAGACATTGTTTTATTTGGACGAAAAACATACTAATCTATCACGTGATACCTTTGTCCTACGGTTACTAATTGAAAAAAATGTTCTTGTCGTATTGGCAACTTTGGAGTGTCGGACCAGAAAAACATACCACTAATATTCGCATAGCTTGTTAGTTCAAAAATACCACGAATCTACAGAACTTGATATTTCATTTGTGTTACTCCTGTTTTGTTGTTGCATAAACGTTATCATAATTATTTCTGCTTTTGAAATTTTTCATTTCAAATAGTGGTAGACATCTCAGGTTGGATGTCGTCGAACAAAAGTGCATTTTTATAAAAAATTCGTTGCTCCGATCGATTTTCCACATGAGTACTTTTATTCAGAAAATTGTCTAGGTAACATGATTTTGTTGAAAAAGTTTGAAAAATATCTGTCATTCCAAAGTTTTGGAGTGTGGACCATCGGGGGTCAGGTTATGTTAGGTTAGGTCCAAAGTGAATGGGTCTAGTCGACCTTCCACCGCAACCCACAAGGGTTTATTGTGGCTCACACCTATTCACACTCAACCAAATAAACCCAGCTTTTTAATGAAGTCGATTAGTGTGTATGGTGAGTGGTATTTCAGGTCAGATGGTTTGAGTACGGCTCTGTCGAACTCATCGTTAATGAGGTAGTCGAATAGTCAAGGTGCAAGATTCTCACCTTGATACCCGTGACAACCTGATGATGCCTTAGATTTAACTGTGCAGGGCTTTTTCGCCTCTGGTTTTGGTGAATTATCACGCGAGCGCAAACGTTTGCTAACCTGCTCATGGGGGGTTTGTTCTTCCATCTGAGGCATGATTTTGCGTACGCCGCTCAAGAATTTGGTCAAGGCGGTTTTATAAGGTACTCCGCTCTTGAGGAGACCACTCAGTCGTTTCCTGGCTGCATCACCAAACCTTTTCTTTATGTTCAGTTATTGGATCAGGAGTTGGGGAGTTGAGAAGCGCTCGCTCCTGAACTGAATTCACAGGGAGGTCAGTTGAAGTCGTAAACTCGACATCCATCTCCTCTGTAGACTCACTCCTGAACTTAATTTACAGGGAGGTCAGTTGGAGTCGTAAACTCGATATCCATCTCCCCTGTAGACTCGCTGAATTTACAGGGAGGACAATTGGAGTAATGAACTCGACATCCATCTCCTGTGTAGAACCATTGGGGGTAGTCCGTTCCTGACTCTTGCATGAAAGTTCATCAAAGCAATTCATTTGTTTACTCAATCACCAAAATTGGTTGATTTTGAATATTCACTTGAAAAGTTGTCAAAGAATAACATTTTTCATTTTGTAAATTTGAGGGCCCGTAACTTGGTAACGAAGGATTTTAGGAACAAAAGTTATGGTGATATTTTTACCTCATCTTTACATTCCCGAAAGGAAAAGAGGGAGTCCCTGTATGAAATTTACCATTTATACTACGAAGAATGTTTAGTTATAAATCATCTAATTGCAAGAGTATCCGGATACGAGTTTTCATATCTTCACAACCTGATGATGTTCCAAACAACAAAGTAGCCCATAGTTCCCTATCTGAAATGGGATTTGGACTTGAACAAAACTGATTACTAATTTCGGAGACATAAAAGACATGCTAATGCTATACTCATTACAATTTCCATTAGGCAATGAACGATAAACTTCCTCTACATTTATAGTGATAAATAAAAAAACAAACGTTTCAGTTGTCAGTTTCATGCATCGTCATGACAGAAAATTGATGTTATCAACTGAAATTTGGACATTTCATAATTACAAATATTCGACGCTCCGATGAAACCGACACTAAAATCATAATTTCGCATGCGGTAAATCATGAATTCGAACAGTGTGACTTTGGCCATTATCTCTAAAACGGCATGGTATAGATGATAATCAACATTTTAACAAAGAATTGAATCACATTCGGGCAGATTAATTTTCAGCAGCTGCAATCATTCAGTGGTGGCCGCAAATGTCATGATTTATGATTTAAGCGATGTGGAATTTAATTAATTTCAATTCGGGTTGTACAAAGCTGTGAGAATTCGTCTACTCGAAAGTGACTCACTTTGAGGTGTATGATAATCCACTCGTAAACAAATATCAAACGACTAAGTCGGAGAAGAAGAAATACACTAAGAAACATCATTTTTTCTTGGCTTTCCCAAATGGTGAGATGTAACAAATGCCTGGCCGCATGGTACCTGATTTTCTATCTAATACCGCAGCGAATATTGAATAACATTTCTGAAAGATTATATATACACGAAATGCTTGCACTTCATCCTACAATGATGCGGTATCAGCTTCGTCCTTTCAACAAAGAAGCATCACGACTACTTTCCGA